ACAAACACACAAACAAATAAATAAATTTGGGGATGAATCTCAAATTCATCACTCTTTCATACATGTCCATTTTTTCTTCTGTGATAGCTTCAAAGTCCTACTTTGTGAAATATTTAATAGTAATAAAGGAAGTGCAGAAGTGTGGAAGGCAGGCAGGCAGGCAGGCAGGAAGGAAGGCAGGAAGGCAGGAAGGCAGGCAGGGAGGGAGGCAGGGAGGGAGGGAGGGTAACAGGTAATGTCTTTGAAGCCTATGGCACACATGCAAAACTAGACATTGACAATTGTATTTACAATTATCATGGAAGAGAAACAAATATCTGAGAGACTGATGGGCAGCTTTCTCTTTCTGCTATTGTTCACGAAGATGCTTGTAAGGAGGCTTATAAGAGAGGCATTGCAGAGACTTAAAAGCAGGGTTTAAACAGTGAAATCAATGTCCATAAGCAAAGCCCAAACGATACAATCCTTTTAGCCCAGACTGCTTCCTCTTTTGCCTCCATCATTGCAAGCAATGCAACATGTTGCTGAGCCATTTTGTTAATTCTTTGATATTTTTCCTCCTATTCAATTTATTCTTTGATAGCTGTTGGTATTAAAACTGATGTTTGCAAAACTGAGTGAGTTGATTAATAGGTATTTTATACATCTGGTATTTCCTCATAAAAGACTGGTAAACTTATTTCAATTATCATACCACCAACAAGGATGCAATCTGTTCACAATGGCTATTTACGAGTGGCTGCTTTGGGTAATGGCTGTTTTCTTAGCATGGGAAATGAAATATAATATTATTAAACAGAGATATGCAGAATGGTGTGTCAACTTATCCATCTTGCTGATGTTTATAGGCTTAATTTTTTGTAATGTTTATTTTATTTTATGGGACCAAACGTTAAAGTATCACTTATTTGAAAGCATCTAATTTCTTTTATTTTTGTTTTAATGTCCTTGAATATTAGCATCCACAAATTCATGTGCAATCAGTGCAGAAAACCTGTGGTAGGTACTCTATTAATCCTATTTAGAGAAACATGTTGTAATGAGAGAGATAATGAACCAAGGAGTTTAATTTTTTTATGTTTTACCCACAAGGCTAAGGTTCTCTTCTTTGGTGGTTTTGTTTTAATAAATCACCTGTAAAATGTCTTAAAATGATGCATGATAATCTCAAAATTGCTATGAAAATACAATGTGGATGAGAAAGCAGGAAGTGCAAATGTAAGACTGGATGGTGAAGAAACAGACACAAACATTACAAAGATTTTAAACATAACAATAATTAAAATTATGTTAGATTAATACCTCAGGTAGTGAAGGAAATCACTGTGGTATAAATACAGCTTCTTAGGAGTCATTAAAATAAAACTATTTCTTTTTGAGCAGGGAAAGAATTTTTTTAGATTTACAAATCTCCCCAACAAACAATAACTTCTTAGATTTCAGTAAATAATATTGGAAGTGCTAAATATATCAGAACACTTTCATAAACCACTTACATGTCTAACTGAAACAGTATCTGTTTCAGATACTCAGAAATTTAAGTCTATTACAGATTTTGAATTCCTATTAAAGTTTAATTTGGGGGAATAAGAGAGAAAAGCATTATTTCTTCAAAATATAAATGGATAATGAGAACATAAATGCTTCTAAAATTTTAAAGAGCTTTAAAAAATAATGTCTTCAACAGATGATATTTCAGAATATAGGCAGACAGAGAGACATAGAAAACAGAAATCACATAGGTTCTCCTGCCAAGTAAAAATTTCTTTCTGTCTGCCATTACAGATGTCACTGCTCCTAAGAAAATAATTTAGGAGGGAATGTCTCCTTTATCATCTTCCCTCATATCCAGTAAACATAGGCTGAATGTTTTGGTGTCTGCCACCATGCAGTTTTGCCCTCTTTGCATGTACACCTTAACTAGTAGTGATACCACCTTTGCTCTGCTGTCAGCTTTGACCTGCACTGTGAGGCTGCTACAGCTCCTTAGAGTGAATGTGGATGTATTCTGCAGCTGTTTAGATAATATCTCCTTCTCCCTCTCAAAATTATTCTCACAGTACTTGGCTCTTGTAGGCTTCAGCTTCTCAGCAATGTCTTAATACAGAACAATAGTTGGGCATTTTTCCTAAGGAGCTGTATTTCTGGTCACCTAAGGTTAAATAGTATGAGATAAACTGTTTCAAAAGCACTAACATCACTACCACTAAAGGCAGGCCACTCTACACATGTCACTGAAGTTTTGCCTCTGAAAGCCTCTGAAAGCCTTTGTTTTATGAAGCCAGGCTGACATCACTAACTAGCTTACTAGTTAACTAACTAAGCTGACTATCTTACCTGAGCTCCAAGAACTTCAGTTACAAAGAACTACCTAAAATGCCTTTTGGCTTTTTGCATAAGGCTGAGTCCTTTTGATTGTGGTTTTTGCTATGAAAATAACGAAGGTTTTGGACTCTGCTACATAGCCAAAGATGCTGGAAGGACAAAGATGGGAGGTTAAAAGGACCATTTAAAAATAAGGAATGAATTGAATACATTAGATTTATTTGGTGAAACAATTTAATGAAGAAAATACTAATTAAATTATTAAAATCTAGATTGCAAGTAGTAATTAAAAAGGCAGTTGCTATGCAACCAAAAGGATTTTTGTGACAGAGTGCAGAAATATGTTTGTTAAGTATGCTGGTATTTCACTTTGACCTTTTTCAGTCACACACCTGCCCAAACTGTCTGTAAATGTATTTTTGAGAATGATAACATTAAAGATATCCACAGGATGAAGAAGCAGAAAGACTATTTGAATTAGCTAATGACTTTTATTATGGTTAAAAGGTTAAGGAATCTGTGAGATAAAAATAGATACACGTATATAATTATGTATAAAATTTGTATGCTGATATTTCATCATAACTAATGGATTAATTCCTATCCCAAACACAGGTCCTGATCCTAAAGACATAAAAAATTAATTTTCATAATGTGTTGTGTGAGCTAAACCTGCCCTCTCCTGAAGGTTTTAAATAACAGTTAAATCTTTTATGTTAACGAAGGCCAACTTTTGCTGTTCCTGGAACAATCTGTGTGGTAGTTTCTGCTACAGTATAAATTGTTACATGTGAAAGATTTCTGTTTTCATCATGAGATACTGATGTATGGAAGAGAGAACACCAGTATGCAGATGAAGAGTGACATGCAAAAGATTATTTTTAATCTTGAGATCTTATTTTTAATATGAGATCTTAAAGACATTTATTTGCCCTTTCCTTTCTTTTTCTGATGACTTTTAATTTCCAAACATTAATTTATTATAGTTTTATAGGCAGCTTCTCTTCAAACAACCACTCAGAAGAGGCCCTAAAGCCCCTTTTATGATGCTGGAGCAGAGGAACTATCAGATCTAAAGACAGAGTAGTAGTTGTAGACACAGTAGGGTGTAGAGATTCCTAAAAGGAACTCTGGAACATTCACTTGTCATTTGTGCAGCAATGTGTAAGCTTTTGTGTTTTGTGCACTGTTACCCTTCTATGCAAGGAATCTAGGTGAGTATTTTAATATTTAGTATTGTAGAGTATTCTCTAAAAAGATTCTGTAGGTTCTCTCTCTCTAATAAATATATATATGTGTGTATGTACATGTTATGTGTGTATACAGTTAAATATTCAGCACTTAAGTGGATACAGGAAATGGTTTAGGTGATGGCTGCCATGCCAGAGGAAATTGTACTGGTTGGTGTTTCTGGGATTATCTACTGAGTTTTCAAAAAATAAATAATGGTTATGTACAAATCTCTTTTATTAGGAAATAATAAAATATGCCTGCCTTATATTCCAATAAAAAAACCAAAACTGTAGGAGCTTGGGGTAGAAGATAGAAATAACAAAAAACCCACTCCCCCCACCCCCAAAACAAAAATAAACAAAAAAACCACCAAACAACCAAAGGAAAAAATTCCTCAAAAAAAAAACCCAAGAGAAAATATACATCTAGTAAAAATAATTAACAGAATAATGAAAAAATAATATTTTGTCCACAGAAATGTGAAATGGTATCTTATTTAAGATATCATTGACTAACTTCTGTCTAGTGTTTATATCTAAAATGAATTTTTTATCATTAAGCTTAAATCTATCCTAAACATTTTTCTTTTTACAGATGGTAATATAGATTGCATTTTTCCACAGAGCTATTGACACATCCTCAAGCTTCTCAAGAGAAAACCTCAAGCTTCTCAAGTGAAGTTTGGTATTATGAATGTTCTTTTCCTTTTAATGAGCCATGGATAAAAAAGATTCAATTTAGCCAAATAAAGAACAGTAAATTATTGCCAAAATACTGAAGATAAAAATATACTTCTGAGAGGATATATTAAAAAACTTTTATTTTTTCTCTTCAATTTCACTGAGCTTCTTGACACCTAAATATGTTAGTTAATGGGTGCTTCCAATTCTGTGAGATATAATTACAAAGGAGCATATTGTTTTCTAAATGTGTCCTCATAAACCCAGTTTTATCTTGAATCTATGTAGAAAAAGCAGGTTCAGAATGATCTTTAATCAGAAGCACCACCTTCCCTCTCTTTTCATTTAAAGACAATTTTGAAGTTCTAGAAAGAGTGTGTTCCTCTGTCCAGTGAAGTTATAACTCCCTAAAAACTCTGTTTTCCTGGGCTCCAGATAAAAGTCAAGTATGAATTACAGGAAAACTTCAGCATCACTGGACAGACAGGAGTTAGAATACAGCATTGTACTTCAGAACTATTTATAAACACATGAAAAAAAAAAAAATTAGATTAAAATCCTATCCAACACCAATCACAGGAAGAATACATGTTAGTTTTCTATATTGTGGAAAAGAGATTTTTTGCTGCTGTAAACCTTCTCTGTAAGTTCCCATAGAGAATAACTGCTAGACACAAATCACAAAAATAACATCATAAAGCTTTAATACCCTTGGCTTTAGTAAATTAATTAAATTACCCAGTAATAAAATGAGTTTCCTACCTCAACTTTGTGAATTCCAACTCCTGTTACAAAAGAGAGAAAAGAAAGGATTTTCAGAGAAAAGTACAGAAAGGAAGACATTTGATATTGTTTAGCAATATATAATAGAAAACAAGTTCACAAGTTTGATTAGAAGAAAAATCATACAAAAAAAGAAAGTTCCCCTGTTGTAGTGAGAAAATATTTATTTTCTCCTATATGTAATCTCCAGGTGTAAGAAGATTTTGCATTTTATTAAAATATTTTTGATTACACTTCACTGCATAAAGTGAGGCATTATCATGGGAAAGAATAGCAGCTAGGAGAATCTGTGCTTCAATTTGCAGATAACAAAGAAATTTTAAAAATACATGAAATGGAAATTCAAATATATTTTTAAAAATTCACCTGCCAGAAGTTTTAGCCCTGTTTTATAAGCAACTAAGAAATAAAACAAATGAAACTTTTTTTTTTTTAAGTCAATATATGGTTCTCTAAGTTTCTTTCACAGTCTTCTTATCAGTCATCCTCATTTCAGTTCTGACTTGTTAATGTGTCCTAGTGCTATTTTGCACTCTACTGTTGCTGTTGCAATGACTGTACATCATATGCTTTCCCAGCAGTGTCAGAAGTGTGAAAAATTAGGGACTAAATATCACAAAAGAGACATTTTAAAAAATATTTTTTAATTATATATGACAGAAATGAAATTTATCTACTATAAACCACAAACAATTACAAGAGATTACTGAAAGTATTTAAATTTGTTTAGCCCTATAAATTTCCTCAACTACATAGTATAAAAGCCACAATCTTGACTTTTTCCATCAAAAATTTATTCTCTTCCCTTAAGTTACTTCCTTGTAGGTGGAGTGAGAACAACTTGTAAGACATGGGCAAGTTCCACACAGAACCAAAGAAGGGTGTAGACAGAGGATTTAAATTTTTCTCCTATTTTGATGGTCTCAGGTACTACCAATACCAATATCCATATAGTATAACATATTTAACATTCTCTAATTTATTTTGTGCACCAAACTACATTCCTCTAGGAACTTTAGGAAGGATTTAAAATATAAAGCAAAAGGGGTTGTCAAATAGATGGCTATAGCTGTTAGGAATTGACCAGGTAAAATCTCTATACAAGAGAAAAAAATCCAAGTCATATGGATTACAGGTTTTTCTCTTTTTCCTTTTAATTTTATTTTAATTTTGTCATTAATATGACATTATACTTGGCAACTTTTCAAATCTATGTTTTGGAATGTAATCTGCAACAGATGATCATAATTTTAATTTATGTTAGACAGTGCCCTGCAAAAACAGTCTTTATAAGGTTCAGACCATTTCAGAAGTCCATTTCATATTTATGTTTAAATAAAGCAGACAAATATCCTCTTCTTTCCTATTAACACCTCTGCAAGAGATAAAAAAAACCCCAGTCTTCCTTTGTATCCTGTCACTTACTTAATATAGTTACAATACTGTCAGAAAAATTCTGAAAGCGTTAAGGAAAGGAGCAAGTTTGTGGAATTAGAATTTCATATTTTTGATGAACCTGAACTAATCTTGTAAACTCCTTAAAACTTAATCCTGCCAATTTTTTTTCAAACTGTTGCTTAGACTAAATATCATGCTTCCCCTCTAATAGTAGATCTCTAGAGTATTTTATGTATTTTTTAATATTTTTATTAATTTGTTTTACTTTTCTAGAAACACATCTCATAGTTTGAAAAAGATTTCCTAAGAAGCTAGGGTTCATGTTTGAATAGCAAGGCAAACAAGTGATATAAGATCCTGTAGAATTTACTAATTTTGGAATAAATTTCTCTGTGGTGTTTCTCCATTTCTGTTTAAAATCCTAATTACAGCCTTCATAGATTTTTTTATTTTCATGCCTGGTAAGATTTTTTTTTTTTTTTGTACTTTGGGCTTTAGGATGTGTCAGCTTATGGGCTTTATTTCATCTTTATCTGCATAGCCAGTGGGAGTCAGTATTGAAAATTAATTTGATTGAGCATAGCAGTTACATTGTGCAGAATATCATTCAGTGAAGAGACTAGACATAATAATTTGACAGTTACAAATCATTTAGGAGAAATTATCATCAAGAAAGGAAAGAGATCAATTTGTTTGGTAGTATCAAGTGTTCTGAATGCACCGATCCCTCTGGAAAAGAATCTGAGGGTTCTAAAAACATTGCTGATAAGGAAGACAAAACCTAAAAGACTCTTAAACTGGAGTCAATACTATACCTTCTGGTAGAGCAATCTGCTCTTCTGAGACCTCTGCCTTGGAGTGTCCAGGTTTGGGACCCCCAAGATAAGAAAGATGTTGCCCTGTTGGAACCAGGCCAGAGTCACCACTTTGATTTTAGGAGTTTGAGCAATTCACCTGTGAAGACAGGCTGAGAGAGCTGGGGCTGTTCAGCATGGAGAGGACCTTATATTGGCCTTTTAGCACCTACTGGGAACCTAAAGAGGGACTTTTCACAAGGGCATGTAGTGATAGGTGTGAATAGCCTTAAGATGAAGGAGAGTAGAAGATGTAGGGATGGTGAGGCACCGGATTGTCCCAGAGATGTTGTGGACACCCCATCCCTGGAGGTGTTCAAGACTAGGCTGTGTGGGCTTCTGGGTAAACTGTCTAGAGGAAGATGTCACTGCCCTGGGAAGAGAGGATGGAACAGGATGATCTTAGGGTCCCTACCAACCCAGACCTTTCCATGATTATCTAATAATGAAGTTGTTGGTGAAAAGCTATTGTCAGTGACACTTAAGAGGAGTCGTACTAGACACTATCAAGGCAGGATCATTATCTGTGTATCATTACACAGCAAGTATTACAGTGACTGAAATATCAAGTATAGAGTCAAGTGCCACATTTACAAGTTTCTCCTATTATGTAGAAATATCAAGCTTTCATGAGTAAAAGAATTAACAAGTCATTGGGTTTCCTCCGACTTTTCTTTCCCTATTTGCGTTGACTTAGCTTAAAGCAGACCTGACCTTCTTCCTTTTGCCTCTGCTTAGAGTTGTACTTTGTGCTTATTCTGATCAGTCAGAAAAACAGAAACAGAAAACCTAGAAGTAAAATTTAATTTCAAGTGAATTCTTGTTTCTTTGAATTTTTCCTACACATAGTGGCTATCTCTTCTCCAATGGTATGCCATTCTAGCTCTTCACAGAACTTTTGCTGTGGATCATTAAGTTAATGAAATAACTTCAAAAGAAAATGTACCTTTCCAAGCCTTTCCAGGCACAATTTTGATACTGCACTTGCTCTGTCATTGGAATATTGACTATCACAGCTTCACTGCCTATGAGATTGGATTAAGATTCTGGAAATAATTTTTTTTAAGGGTTGAAATTATATGGGGCTTTAAGTTTCTTAGATAATGAGGCCTTGGATGATCTCATCTTCCATGCTGCCTGCCTTCAGTTCAATACTTGGATCACAAAACTAGCAATCTGCCCTGGCTAATGGAGTTTGGAGTTATGAAACAATGTAAATGCTGTGATTAACTGAGGAGCTATAAAAACCTTTGGGCTACTTCTTCTGCACTATTATCTTGTACTCATATTTGACTTTAAGTCTGTAGGGTCAGTTTGCTTTCTTGACTTCATAGTATATATGTTCTTGTGACCCTTAGCATTATAACAATTCCAGTAAAACTTCAAAAGTGGATGTTTATAGCCACATCATTCTACACAAGAATTAAACTCACTGGGGGAATTCTTTGATCATTAATTCTCTTCATGTAATGAGAATTATGGTCTACAAGTAATTGCAGTTACATTTAGTTACAATTTCTTCTCAACTGATACCTTTTATTCCTAAGTATATTTTTGAATTATTTTATTGCCTTTTCCACATTTATTCAGAAATAAAATTCAGTGAGTTTGCGATAGATTGGATTGCAGATTTTAAAATTTATGCCGATTTTTTTGACAAACTCAACAATCAAGATATTTTTTATATTACTCACCATCTCAATCCATGAAGGCAAGTCAACATGATAATTTAATGCCATGAGTGTAACTCAAGTTTTATATTGTGGAGTTTTTTTCCCAGATGGGAGTAATTTGAGGGGTAATCAAACACAAGTGTGGAATACACTTGAGAGATTTTAGAATATAGTGACTCAAAAATGGTACGTGTTGTATGTTATATGTTTTCAGTTGGTCTTTCTTCCAGTAGGCCCTTTCAAAATATAAAACACAGCAGATATTAAATTAATTTCAGCTTCATGCTTCTGGTAGTGTGCCAACTTAACTGTTTTACTTCATTCAAGTGATGAATAACCACTCCTGATTTAGCCTATCATTTAAAAATCTAATATTCTCCTTGGTCACAATACCGGTTGTCTGTCTAATCTTGATGACTTCATGGGAACAACATGAATGTTTTCCGAGTTTGGGAGGCTGTCCATTGCATGAGTGTGCAATAATATTTCTTGTTTTTAGGAATTCTGAAAAATGCTTGTTTAGAATAAAACAACTGGATTGTTTTTTGAAAGAGTTTCACCATGAAAAAAAAAGAAACTGCTTTACATTTTCTATTTAATTTTTATACCCTGTTTACAAATGTAACTGGAATTACTATTAACATAGATAAGTGAGATTGAAAATGAGGCAACTGCTAACTATTTTAATATAAGGAACAAACAATCACTGTATGATAAATTCATTTAAAATTAATCCTTGTGGATTCTGTTTGTTTGGTGGGTTGTTCATTGCTTTTGTGTATGTATTCTGTTTTATATTGAACTGTAAGAAATACTGGAAAAGTTCAATCTGGATAGAATTTGCTAAAAAAAGGTTTCATGTGTGGTTGATGCCTTAAGTTTCAGCTTTCATATTTTTCAGATTCTGTACTGCTTTAATTTGTAACTCTGAACTACATCTAAAGTGCTAGCAAGTTCTCTTCACAGCTTAGTTAGACAAAACAATCCTTTTCCAGCCCGAGAACCAAGGACACCAAAAAGGCCCAAAAAGCATTAACAGAAGCAAATTGAGGAGAGCAATATGAGAGGCTCGTACTT